AAAAAGAGAGGTGGACTAGCTTTACCCAATCTCAGATTATATTACAGGTCAAGCTGTCTATCATGGATAACAGAAGGGATAAAATTTCTTAATAGCAGAATATTAACTATAGAAGGAGCAGGTTTAGCCAATGGATTTCATAGATATCTATCAAATAAAGAAGCAAAAGAAGACAAAAATCTGAAGGGACGTATTATAAGAAAAAGTTTGTTAAAAATTTGGAAATCATTAAAAGCAAGGATAAGTCCAACAATTGCATGACTAGCGTCACTGTCATATGTTTTCTATTTCAAGGACAAGAAAGAACTGATCACATATGCCAATATAATACATCTGGATTCAAGAAACGGATTAAACATACAACAAGAATTACTTAATGAAGGAAGGAATTTGCCATGGTTAATGTTTTTGCACTGGAAAAATAAAAAACAATCTTAAAGTAGGAGGGACCCTAAGAAAGATGACAGGATTTGAAATACATACACAGAATCAAGAGTATTTATTAGGGGTTATTTACAGATTGTTAGTTAAATATGGCACGGAAATAGAACATATCAAAAATGATATGATAAACTGGAATCAAAATTCTAAAAAAGCAATAATGGATCTATGGGGGAAAAAATCAATAAAATTTGCACCAAGCTACAATTTGAGAGATGATTGGTATAAAATGTTCTGCAGGTGGTATATAACTCTGTCAATGATTGTCAGGATGGATAAATTATACAACAATAAATGTTGGAAATGCCACAACAAAGAAAGACTGTTTTATTATATGAGGTAGTTATGCAAAATGACTCAAAAGTACTGGAAAGAAATACACGAAAACATTCAGAAAATTCTGAAAATAAAATTTGAATTAAAACTACAAACATTTTTATTAGGTATGATCCCAGAGAATACAAATGAAAGGCATTAAGATACATGCTGACAGTGGCAAGAATCAATCTGGCACAATGTTGGAAAAGAGAAACCTTGCCATCAATACAAGATTGGGAAATTAAAATTGAAGAATACATGGCAATGGAAAAATTGACAGCAGAAGTCTAACCAAATTCGAGCAGGAATGCATCCCTTATATATACTACACAGCAAGCCAAGCTAAGACACTTAGAATATGGTTTTGAAGAAAAAGAGAAACTCTTTAAATAATAATAATCAAAATGATCCAAACAGAAATGAATACAGATAGTTCCTTGTTTACCAACCACTCATTCAGCGACCATTCAAAGTTACGATGGTGCTGAAAAAGGAGACCATTCCTTACAACCAGTCCTTGAAGCTGTGGCCATCACAGTGTCCCTGCAGTCACATGACCATGATTTGGGTGCTTGGTAACCAGTGCACATTTACCACAGTTGCAGTGTCCTGTGGTCACATGATCGTCACTTGCGACCCTCCCAGCCAACGTCCGACAAGCAAAGTCAGTGGGGAAGCTGGCAGGAAATCATAAGATGCGGTCATATGACGTCATGCTTAACAACCGCGGGTGATTCGCTTAACTACTGTTTTGTTTCTTTTTTTTAGTTTTTTTTCTTCTTCTATAATTTTGTGTATTCTTTTTATTTTTTGTATTTAGTCAATTTAAAAAAAAGGCATCTTAAAAAAAATGTGAATGCTTTGCCTAGGAGAATGTTTTTTCTTGGTTAGGTAGCAGATCCAAACATTTTTGGAATTCTGCCTAAACAGCTTAAACTGTGAATTATAATGCAAGGTGATGTTTGTCTACTCTGATGAAGATGTTTAAAATTAATGCCTAGTTGGCATAATTTACTATGGTGTTGAATTTAGGATCTTTCCCCTCCCAGCTGAAGAAAAACCAGTAAGACTTTCAGGACACATACCCAGTGGGATGATCACAATTTGTGGGTGTTTGGCAGCTAAATTCTTCAGGTCCTGAAAAAAAGAAAATCTGCAGACTTAGTGCTTTCCTCCTTACAGCTAGCCATGGCACTGATACAATTTTCTCTCAATGGGGGCCCTAGTAAACTTGTGGAACTTTGGTTCATATAGGCAACCCCCCCCCCCACCTTTGGCTAACCAAATCTGGAGCATTTCTTCAACATACTCAGACCTGTCTTAAAACATTTCTTACCCAGATATACGGAAAGGATTATTCTGAAGGCTATCAAAAATGTTTACCCTTTTGAAATGTTGCAATAGGGTTTCCTCTCAGTTTTTCATCTTTTTCAATCTGAATAGCCTTTCTAATCCTGTGATAAAGTGATTATGTTGGATTCTTCTTATTCTAAAACTTGAAAATGCTTAACCCTTCTAATGGTTTTCTAATCAATTGATGGGGGAAATTAGCCTCAATGCTATTCATCTCTCCCTAATTCCACCAGGAAAAGCATCATTAAGCTATTTCAAATCTAAATAATTTTCATTTAATAAACTTGGTTTGTTTTTTTTTAATCTTCATTATGCCTCACTCAGCCAGGCCTCCACCATGACCACCTAGGACACAAGCTAACTGCCATTAGAGAAAATGTCCCTGTTCTTCCCACATAGAGCTGAAGCGCCCCAGGCCTTACCTGGGCACGGGGTCCAGCTGGGTCCCGGCAAGTGGCAAAGATCCATTGTGGGGGATTGCTCTTCCTCGCCACATTGTGGGGGATTGCTCTTCCTCGCCACATTGTGGGGGATTGCTCTTCCTCGCCACATTGTGGGGGATTGCTCTTCCTCGCCAGCTGCCTGACCAGCTCCAAGCCAAGACCCCGATTGGACCCGGTCACCAGAACGCTGCGTGGATTCAGTTGTTCCATCTCTCTTGGATGGCCAGCCAAGACCAACTAACAAACCGGTTTGTGCACTCCCTTAAATCTTCTCGCAACTCAGCTCGTTCCCAGTCCCTCCACCCAGGTAACATAAATTGCTTGGCCTCTGTGTCAGAAGGGAAATAACAACTCTGAAGTGAGTGAGAAAGGAAGGATTTGGGTATCATCTACAGAGTCCTGACAGGTTCTTCTGCATGGACTTAAAAAAGCAACAACTTTTTTTGTTATTTTCACTGGTGTTATTTCATTTAAAGAATGTTTACTATGCTTTCTGCTGTGAACAACACCTTTCAAACCAATTATCATGATCTGAGTCTTAGCAGAGCAGTTGGTACTGAAGCTTGGCAGCAGACAATCTAAAGTTTCTGGGTGGCTTGTGACTTCAGCAGCATATAAGTCTCAACAGATAAATTAAAAACAAATCAGAATTTAACCTTTTTCCAAAGTGTTATAAATTTGGAATATTTTAGTTTATGTAATAATCATTTGTTAGATTTCCATTGTTTTTCCATTGGAGGAGGATAATTCAGATATAAAAAGGATATACCAAGGAAGCAGGCACTGAGAAAAAAATACTTTCACATTACCCATTGTTAAATATATCATTTAGCTATTGGTTTATATATTTAGTTAGAAGAGTGGTTAGCAGGTGCCTGAATTATTTCCATGGAGCAATACCATTGCAAGTTTTATCAAAATCACAACTTGTTTTTTCTGTGCAATGTCAACTTGGAAACTCCCATATTGAGCTGAACAAACATCACCTATTTGGTAAAGATTGCCACACCTTTGGAAGATAAAGTTATCCAAGAATGTCAAGACAAACTTTTTTCATTCCCCTAGGCAGGAAGACTATTGCTGGAACCAACCCCCAAGAAATTTCCAGAATCATCACAACATCATGTCTTCAGTCCTGTTCTAGAAGATAGCCCTGGTAGATACCATACTCAATGTTCTCAAAAGTTACTGTCAGTTGATAGCCAGGCAGTCAACCCAAAGCAGCAGTCTTCTTCTGCCTCTCAATAGTGCCTTAGAGAAAACCAGAAAATGTGTGTGCAACTGCATGTACCTAAATCCAGAATGATTGAAGCTAGATGAAAATTAAAACTAGAGTGTTTTTTTAAAAAAATCCTCTGCATCTAAATTGCCTGGCCATGTTTTCTTCAGTATCTTAGGTTCCTGTAAGCCTACCAAGAGTGATTCTCGCTTTACCTCTTTTGAACTCTTCTTCTTCTAGAAGCTCAGAGGATGGAAGATCAACTCAATCATGTCTATGCATTAAAAGCAGACATAGACATATAGTCCTAAAACCAATTATGTGCTCATATTTGACAGGGCACACCTGCTATTGTGAGTATTATGTAAGCTTACACCAAGAGTTTATGAACTTGAGAGCTCAGTGGCAATTGATCTTGCTGTTGTTTAGTATGTCTGATACTTTTCTTTACGAAAGAAGAATAGATATAGATATAGATATAGATATAGATATAGATATAGATATAGATATAGATATAG